TTTCTTTTGGAGGGGGTCCCCCTCCAACAGAACCTAAAAGAGCATTTGTGCGGGTCCCCCACCATTGCTGCCACCGACCACTTAGGCAACAGGGCAACATTCTGTTGGAGGGGGTATAAAATTCCCAATCCCCCCTTATCCCTTGCACAACAGATTAATTCTCATGCTGCTTTTACGATAAAACTTTGTTTTCTCTTTTTTCCTTCTTTATGATCCCCCCCGATTGTTCTGAAGACTGCGCCGGTTCGTTATAGGGAAACGAGTTGCAGTCTTTGGGAAAAGCGCCTGAATCAGACACTCTTTGGGAAAAGCGTCTGAATCAGGCACTCTTATTGCACCAGATGCGGGCGCGCTAGGGAAGGAGATCTGAGAGAGAGAGAGAGAGAGAGAGAGAGAGAGAGAGAGAGAGAGAGAGAGAGAGAGAGAGAGAGAGAGAGAGAGAGAGAGAGAGAGAGAGNGAGAGAGAGAGAGAGAGAGAGAGAGAGAGAGAGAGAGAGAGAGAGAGAGAGAGAGAGAGAGAGAGAGAGAGAGAGAGAGAGAGAGAGACTACCTGGCGGCTGACCTTTGCTACTCCCTACGATACGATGAGCAGTGCAAAGGCCAGCAAGTAAGTCTCTAACCTTGCGACTGGGCTCTGCGACCTCCATTGATAGGATGAGCAAAATAGAATGAATCTGCCCCTAGGGCAGGGGAAAATACACCGCCATATGTTTTTGGTCCTCCCCCCTTTTCCTGCTCAGTTTCACTTCATTGTAGTTGCGCCCCTTCTTTTTGAACGGGCAACAACTACATGAAGTGGCGCCCGACCTTGGCACCTAGATCAAGCCAAGTTCGGACACGCCAAGGGAAAGAAGACCCTGCTGAGCTTGAGTCCAGTTCTACTCTGTGAAATGACTGTGAAGGGTTGCCTGTTCGTCTCAGAACGACGAGCTGCCTCTCACAGAGAAATGAGGGGCCTCAAGGAAGGTTAAAAAAAAAGAAAAAAAAAAAAAAGAGGGAAAAGAATGAGCAATGGCCACGTATGTGGCCGTGACAGGTGGTTAGGTGCAGGTGTGTATATGTGCTGCGCCTGTTCTATTTTTGAACAGCTACAACAATTTTGGCTGGGTACAGCCATTTCCTGAAGCATGGGGCCAGGGAAAATGGCCCGATGCTTTTGGAATTGGCAGACCTTGGTTCCCCTAGGGGGACATCAAGGTTTGTGGCCCTTGATCGCGAGCAGACCTTGGTTCTTCTAGGGGAACATATGGCTCCATTGACTAACAGGAGAACCTAGAGCGGATTTGCTTGCTTTTTTTTTTTTTTTTTTAGCACCCATCTTGAAAAGGATACGACAAATTTGTTGGCTCCAATCCCATTGGTGAACAGGAGAACGTAGAGCGGATTTGCTTGCTTCTTTTTTTGTTGTTATTGGTAGTTTTCTGGAGGATTCTGGTGAGTTGTAAACACATTTACATTCTGATATTGTGGAATCTAGTTCTCTTCTCTGGGGTCTGGTCCCACCTGTGTTGTTAAGAAAACTCAACACGGAGTTTTCTACGACGAGCGACAACGTTCGACAGGATGTGGCCGTCGACAGGGCTGCGATCCCACSGTTGGAAGTATTTCGAAATGTTGATGTCCTACCGGGTGATTTGAATTTTTTTTTTTTTTTTTGTATAAGGACTGCGAATGGACTCCCGCAATGGAGGGAAGGCGGCATGGGCAAGCGSCACGGAGTTGAGAAAGCTACCCTCCATGGTCGAGGGTAGGTTTCTCAACATGGTCAATGAAAAATTTTGCGATTTTGGGGATTTTTAGTCGCCGTCTGCTGTTCCCCGTTTCTCGTATACTGTGTCAGGCACTCCGTCAGTGCAATGAAAGCCGTAACTGTCGTGCGTGGGCTCTATAAGGCCTCGCTCCGTTGCTCACCACATGCACAAACAAAAGAAAAAAGAAAGTCGATGTATGTTTTCGTGTTCTTGCCGATATTGATTGCTCTTTGGACCCACTTCGACGTCCTCGACAGAAACCATTATTTTCGCATCATTTTCTTAAAATGAATAAAAACTGCTAAGAATAAATCTGAAATGCATTTTTCGGATTTTAAAAATGCGGTAAATGGTGTCACACCGTTGAGGTTTCTAAACTCAACGGCCGTAGGTGGGACCATTCTAGTGAGTTGTAAACACATTTACATTCTGATATTGTAGAATCTAGTTCTCTTCTCTGGGGTCGGGTCCCATTTAGCACATTGGCTAACAGGAGGAGGTAGAGCGGATTTGTTTGCCTTTTTTCTTTTTTGTTATTGGTCGTTTGGTGGAGGATTTTGGTGAGTTGTAAACACATACATTCTGATATTGTAGCCCATTGGCTAACAGGAGAACGTAGAGAGGATTTGCTTTGCTTTTTTTTTTTTTGTTATTAATAGTTCTGTCGAGGATTTTATTATTATTATTATTTTTTTTTTTTWTTATTAATTTTTTTTTTTCCCCTTTAAAGGTCATTGTGCAAGGCCTTCATCCCAGTGGTGGTCGGAGAACCACCGGGATTGAGGCTTTGGGCCTGGTTGCACTATTCTTGAATCTTAAAAAATCAGGAGTTCATCACCGCTGTACTAACTCTTGATGCCGTGTCCTGGATTTATATTGAAGAGCTGTCAGATTCACTATCGAAAACGTCGGGAATGAGACTGCTCTTGGTCTGGTGCTTCAAGAGGTGTCAGAAATGGCCCATCGGACGCACTCTTGAAGTTTCAACAGTTCCTGCCTGCAAGAGCTTTTTCATGAGTTTTTTTTTCAAACGAGGCCGATGGGTCCCTTCATGCGGTTTGCAAATTCTAGAGTTGGCCTCCTGTCTCGGTGGAAAAATCTTCGCTGCCCTGTCGTGTAGTGTCTGTCCGACAGTGAAGAAAGCTCACGAGAGTCGAGAGTCCGGAGTAAGTGCAGCGACGACAGCACTTGATGCCAATCCAGGAGTTTGAGATAGCGCTAGACGAACTCTCTAAAATTTTCATGTGTCCAGCTTAGTGCAGCGAGACCTTTTGTCTGGTCGGCCGCTCCATCTATTGGTGGGGAGCATCACTTGCTGGAAACGGGGTCCAGCGTCCCTTGAATACATCAAATTCAACATAGGATTCGTGAAAACCTAACAAAACAAATTGTTAGGTTTGCACGAAATCTATTGAAGATTATGATAGTATGTTTTTCAGGTCTCCTCCAGGAACAAAATTCCACGTGAAGTGAAATATCCGGAAAAAAAAAAACAGAAAATTAATTTTTCAGAACTACTGCAGGGGGTGAGGAAAAAAGCGGGTTTTTTCATAGAAAATCACAACCTGGTGAAGCACCCACCGTAGGTTCAAGAACTAAAATATCCTGATTTTTTGTTATCCAAAAAATATGTGTTTATAGTCCTATAAGATGTGTAGCATGATAAATTTATTCGGGGGTTTTCAAAACGCGCAAACATATTCTCCTGTTCGTGAATACGTTCGCTCGAACATGGTTTCCTATACATGGGCGAATTTATTATTTTTTATTGTTTGTTTTAATTTTTTTTCCTATATTTTTATTTTAAACTCGTGTTTGGCTAAGAATTTCAAGGTGTCTCCGAGGCAAAAGTTGTTTGTATTCTTATTTTAAATGACATATATTTTTTGATAAGGGTTTTATTGTTAAGTTTAAAAGTGATTTATAGTCCTATAAATTATTTTGTGCAGAGCTTGGCTTTTACCTAACTGCGGAAACTGACTTATAGTCCTATAAATGGGTATTCACCAAAACACGTTTTTTTTTACATCTTCCAAGTTTGCCTTATCATCCTTAAAAATTACCCTGTTTGAACTTTATTTTTTTGCCAATCTGACTTATAGTCATATAAAAGCATTTTGCAAGGAAGGTTTTTTTTGCACATTTTGAGGAACGCTAGACTTTTCACCTGATTTTTTGCCTCCTTTATCGCAAAACGATTAAAAACGCTCTCTTTTTGTGTAAAAAATAACAGTTTGACTTTTACTTTTTCATTCTATAAGAAATGTTAGGTTTTCTCCGATTGTGAGGTTTTCACGAATCCTCTGTTATTCTTGGAAAACTATATTTCTGGAACTCTTGGGACCCTGCCAGCATTGATTGCCCTGGGTTTCAGGGGATTGACTGTGCAGGGTGTATATTTCTTTAAACCACTAGTACCTTTGCCGCTTGGGAAAATAGCGGGCGTCGGGTAGGCGTCCGACCTTTTCAGAGGCCGAAACGAAACAACGGCCCGATCAGATTTATCAATGGCAGTCGTCTTCGGGCCCGGCCTCCGAAAATTCAGGAGTTTGGATCCCACATGGCGCTTTTAACAAAAAATCGGAAAAGCCCCTCGAAAGGAGGGTCCTTGCCTTTCTGTCCGTAAAAAATTTTTTTGGACTCCACAGGCCCGTCCTTCGAGGGGCTTTAGCAAAAATCCTGCCGAAGTATGTTGGTCCATTTGCGTCGGACCCAATCGCGCTGCCGTAAACGGCAAAAAAAATAAAAACTTTGTTTTTCGGTGCTCGCAGCTTTTAGGGAACAGGGCAGGGGGCTGGCGGCTTTTGCGAAACAAGTGTCTTTTCGCAGGGACACCCGGCCTTGTCTACACGATGCACATAGTGAGTATGAACAGGCGAAATTTGTTTCGGGTCCCGAAAGCCCCGGTGCATTGTGGGATCCGAAATTTTACCCAAAATTGCCTCACTAACAATAGTGGGATAATTGATGAAAAAAAACGAAAGAAATGCTACTAAGCGGTTCGCCACACCACTGTGTCGAAAGCCTCAATTTTTTGACAGCTATCAGAATAAGTTCGACAGCAGCCCCATGAATGCCCGAATGTCAAGTCCCCTCGTCAGTTCTGCGTGCGGATGGGGGCAAAGGCCTGATGGAGGCATCAAGTTGGCGGGCGCTGATATGCCTCAGCGGCAGACCGCAACGGTGGCCGACCGGTCGTGGACTCTTGCTGCCGGTCGCCCTTAAGGCGGTCCGGCGTCCAACGGGTCAGGTAGATATTTGTGCAGCCGCCAGTGATCTATGGCCTACCCACCACTGCCGCTATGTATGTTCTTGTCTCAAGGTGGGTACGGGTAACCCCCAGCGAATAGAAGCCGCAGCTGCCACGTGGCAAGAGATTATGAACCGTGGTAGTCTTATCCGCTCTGCCTCCCCTCTTCTTTCTCTCTCTCCTCCAGCAGGTACAGCCGGAGGAGCACCACCAACGCGATCAGCGGCAGGAGCAGCACGACCACCACGAACTCGATTGGCGGCAGCTATGGGACGAGGGGAGGAGGCGGTAGAGACATCGGACAGGGGAGCGATGGAGGGGGAGAGTGACGACCAATCACCTGCCACCGATCTTCTGGAGCAGCGCATCTTCAGGCCTGAGGAAATGCTCCTTACGATGAAGAGGCAGAAACCAAGAAACTGGCACTGCTTGTGGAAGGGCTGGGATCTGCATACAGGCCAGCAATTGTACCACGTTCGCCATATCCGAAGCTTCTTTACCTTGCAAACTCCATCGCCATCGCCATCGCCTTCGCCATCGCCATCGCCATCCTCGTCGAGTGGTGATGTGGCAAGCCAATCGAAGCTCATCCACCTGAACACACTTTTCGAGGCAAGTCAGAATTTCACGGCCGGTCTCGGTGGCCAATGGGAGGTGATGCTGGCACCAGGAGGAGAGTCGCTCATGCATACTCACTTCCCTTCGGCCAAACTATACGTTCTGCCCAACAGAATAATGGCGGTAAATGGTCCTTTTCAATTGGATAAGCCACGTGGCAGCCAATCAGATGGGCGAAGCAATGGCGATGGGCCTCGTCGGGACCTGGAGGAAGAGCTGCATGAGAATGCAGTAGGTGCCGGTAATCAGGCAGCCACAGACCCTCCTCCTCCTCCTCCTCCTGCTGCTGCTGCTGCTGCTGTGAGTGATGCGACCAAAGTCATAGGCGTAGAGCTCAACCTTGTTCGAGGAGACCATAGGCTCGCTCTTGTCGTCGTGTATGTGGATGGCATTTGGAATCGCGTATTGTTTGGACGAGAGACTCATCGGGATACCAGGGCTGAGTTTGTGGAGCCCAGCTTGCCCACAGCAGAGGAGGAGGAGAATGGAGAACACGGCCCATGGACATGCCTCGACAACGAGTCCATTTCCATAGCTGAGGTCCATGAACTGCCTATCAACCGGAGGGGGAAAGCGAAGGAGGAGGTCTGCTTGGAGCCGGGGTTCGTCTTGACTCATAGAACGTCGGGATCCCGACGTGAAGCCATATCAGCATCGTCAGCAGACGAGCCACGTGGTGAGGAGAGGGACTACCCTGAGCATGCCTGTGCAGAGAAGGGCCATGGCGGGGCAATCACGGGCGGTAAGGATAGATTCCACGTGGATGAACAAGGAGGAGAAGCAGGAGGAGGAGGAGGAGGGGGAGGGGGAGACACCACGTGGAAGGTCGTTCAGCTGCCGGACAACGCGGCCGTATATGCTCCTGCCACGTATTCCATGAATGGCGGGAAACCTTTAGACATCCTCGTTGAGTGGATGTTGCCCAATGTGCCATCGCCATCTTCTTCCTCCGGCCCCCAATCTCCCTCTTCCTCTCCCTCCCCCTTCCCCTCCCCCTCTGCTGCCATCGCCGGCCATGGCGCTGAGGTGGACACTCTCCTGCTGAATATCGGGGCAAATGGGAAGTACCAAAGAATTCGCAGGGCCTCCTACGTCATTCCCGCTGCGTCCTAGTCTTTTTGTCCTTTCTCTTTCTGTTTGTTGTTTGTGTTTTTTTTTTTTTCCCCGACTCGTTCTCCTGCTGTCCTGGTTCTTTTGCTTCGTGCATGTCATGCTTGTAAAGCGAGCATCCTCTGTTTTTATATATATATATTTTATTATTATTTTTTTTATTATAAAGCGAGCATCCTTATCTTCCTTCTCTCTATCGTTTCAAACTTTGAAGCCTTAGGATTTCCCGAAGAACTCCTCCTTTCTCTTCACCGAATTTTGATTCCAACTTTTCGTATTTTGCGTTCGCTTTATCTTAGATAAGATAAAACGACAAATGCCAGATGAAAACAAAAAAAAAAAGAAGCCAGATTTAAAGGTCGGGTAGGTTATAGATTGGGCAGTCTGAAGTTGGGAAATAGGTGAGCAGAGCGTGTTTTTTTCTTTTTCCTTTTTTCTTTTCGGAGAGGTGGAGCTCAGAGAGCGAGCGAGCGAGAGAGAGAGAGAGAGAGAGAGAGAGAGAGAGAGAGAGAGAGAGAGAGAGAGAGAGAGAGAGAGAGAGAGAGAGAGAG